CCCGGGGGGGTCTGCGGCCCTGGGGGGTCTGCGGCCCTGGGGGGGGTCTGCGGTCCCGGGGGGGTCCACGTGGTACAGACCTTTATCTGGTTCCACGCTCCTATATGACTCCAGTACGGTTAGCAATTGTGTGGTGCCTGTGTTTATAGCACCGTAGAGAATGAGTTTCGTTTGCAGGCAAGTTTGCGTTGGCCTCTAAGGAGCAGAGCGTGCAGATATTTAGTCACGAGGCGTGGCAGACTGCTACCGAGTTTGTTCGCTTAGAAGGTTTAAGTCCGCTTGCCGAAAGAGCTCTGGAGGATTCAATGAGTATTGAGCCGCTGGTACCCACCATAAGCTCCGGTTTGTTATGTGCTCAGACGAAGCAGGCATTACGGACTCAGTCATGCATTGCCTGGTCTATTGCGCTACGGAATGGGTTGTCGATTTCGCCAGCTGCCTTGAGCTTTTTGACGGCCACTTCGACTTCGGGCTTGCTGTATCCCGTAAACTCGCCCACCAAGATGACCCCAGAGAGGGCAGCCAGTACTGTCGAGTGCGTAGTTGCTCTACTCAAACACAAGCCTGAACTCCTTGACGGTTCCGACGACTTGGTTGTGCCCCGCGTGGAAGGGGCCCCAAGCGACGGGCGATTCACTCGAATGATAGCCCGCGTTCTAATTCAGGCTCTCGACTGGAAACTCCAATTCAGCAACCAGGCGTCTAGGGACAAGGGCGCTGTGATCACGAGACAACTGCAGGGTTTAGGCGACATAGCTCTGGAGGCGCGCAAGAAATTGATTTCAGCATTCGTTTCTCTCGTCGTCTACGACAATGATCCTTACGACGTAGTTGTCTCTGCCAAGCGCCTGCTTATCAGACACCTCATTGATTCTTTGGACACAGGCCGCGACATAGACCGAGAACTCCTCTTGAGCGAGAAAATCGGGTCTGCACTGCTCTCTGGCGTCATGTGGGCAGATTTAGCGCTTTATCCGGGTAGGCACACACGTGTGCGCAACCTGCGAAGATGGATAGAGCGAATTAATAAATGCGAGAACAGGCTGGTATTTGATGCGCCGCAGCCAACGGCTCTCTTCGCGGAGTTCCTTGGGACTCTATTGAAGACGACGCGGGGCGATTCTGTGTCTTACTTCATCCGATATTTCAGCGAGGACCGCGCGCGCAAACGCATGAACTGCGACTGTTCCGGCTGGAGTCATTGGTTCAAGCAGTTTGACTCAGACTATCTACTGTTCGCCTTGGTCCCGGAGTCGATTATAGTGGATGACGTAATTCCTTCTAGCAAACCGGCGACGGCCTCAGGGAAGCCGACGGCGACTCCCGCCAGGCCTTCTACAAAGGCTCCGGTCGCTGCAAAAGCCCCGACGGCGTCTGCAGCTCCGAAGACTTCTGCTGCCAAGGGAGCTGCAAAGGGCAAGGCCAAAGCGAAGGTCAGTGCCGCGGCGGCGCGGTTGCTGGCAGCCACAGCGGCGCCCGTCGCGAAGGATATGACTACTCCCACCTCTGCGGGCGGTGGCACTGGCACAGCCGACGGGGAAGGCGCGAGTGACCCGGAGACCGCGGATTTGCATGTCTCTTCGGCGCAGCATGCCCGCTACGTCTTCGAGGCGTCCATTGCCCTGGTGAGTGCCTGGCCGATGGTGATAGCGAGTCGTCTGGCCGAGATTTTGGTTTTGCTCCGCACCTGCAGCACCAACCCGGCACTGGCTCTGCCGTCCTCCACTTTTATTCGGGCCTTGGTTCAGGCCTACGTGGATCGTGAGGCCGTACCGGCTGGGGCAACTAAGCTGCCAGGTCTATTGTTCAACTTGCTGCGACGAAGCAACAAGTGTTTGAGAGAGAGCGACCTGAAGGAAGCGGAAGAACTTTGTGCCGGCTTGCACGAAAGCCGGCCGTTGAGTGGCGAAGCGAGCGCCTTGGTACTGCCAGTGATCCTTGCGTTATTGGCCCCACAGAGCGGCTACCAAGTCTCGCTAGTTGCCATGCACCGCGCCATCGCCACGATAGCGCAGCAACTCCGGCTCGGCGCGAACCTAGAGAGCGTCAGTCTAATGGCCATTGTCTCCCAAATCGTTCGCGAACGGCCCACGCTGCTCACGCTCTGTGAGACCATCGTCGTTAACATGCGCGGCGTGGACCCGAACCAACTGGTGGAACTGCTCGACTGCGACAGTACCTCCTTCCGACGCGCCGTCGCCTCAGCTGTTGACCGTCTGGTCCGCGTAAGCACTCCGGACGGTAGTATGGAGAAGGAGGCAACGGCAGTTCCCGACGGGAGTGTTCCCGGTGTGCGTTTCGAGGTCGCGTCCCCCGGGGGCGAGGCCTCGGGTGCCCGGCCTTTAGGGGCTCGCGCACTGACTTTCTTGTTGGCGGAGAAGTACGACCAGGATGAGGTGTTGAAGCGTTTCGCGGCCAAGTACGACACGAGTGGGTTACAATTGGAGGACGCGGTGGCGTTGTTGGCTTGCGAGAGCACACACTTCCGGCGTTGCGTGAGTCGTGCGATTGCGGGTACTTGGTCGCCGACGGCGGTGGTACCTGCAGTGTGTGCAGCGTATATTGCGCAGTTCCGGCCGAAGACGGAGGAGGTGCCGGAGCACTTGAAGGGTTTCAAGTTGAGTGCGGCGGACCTGCAGCGGATTAAAGAGAAACGTGCGGGCGAGCGCGCCACTTCGACACCGGGACAGCTGGGTTGTGTGGGCACGCTCACGGCTACGGTGCGTGCGCACGTGTTGGAGGAGTCGGTTGCGAGGGCGGTGTTGCGTTTCTGTGTGCGCGACGCGCCGGTGGAAGGTGACTTGGAGTTGGAGAAAGAGTGCGAGACGGCGTGTGTGGCGGTGGCGGCAGCGGCTGCCGCTGGTGGTTGTGCAGGTGCGGTGGAGACGGAGCTGGCGTCGTTGTTGGGTCGCGGTGAAGGTGCGGGTGCGGCGGTGGCAGCGGTGGCGTTGGGTGCTTTGGCGGCGGAGACGGGAAGTGCTGCGGCGTGCGAGTCGTTGGTGGCGGCTTTGACTTCGGCGGCGGCGCCGTTGAAGGTGAAGCGAGCAGTTGCGCGTGTGTTGACGCCATTGTTGCGACAGAGATCGTCGTTGGCGTCGTTGGTGGAACGTGCGGAGGCGTTGGCATTCGAGAGCAAGGAGGTGAGGGAGCGCATCAGTGGCGCGTTGTTGCTGGCAGCCTGCATCCGAGCCCAGGGTTGGACGGCATACGGTGGCTGTGACCGGTTGGTGTTGATGGCTACGGAGCGCAAAGAGGTGTGGGCGCGACAGGGTGCGTTTTTGGCATTCGAGGCGGTCGTGGAGGCCTTTGGCAAGAGCATCGAGGCGCAGGCGGCTGCGATCGTGCCGGCCGCACTCAACGGTTGCGGCGATGCAAGACCTGAGGTGCGAGACGCGGCCAAGGCCGTCGCGCGGAAGCTCATGCCCCAACTCACTGGTGCTGCCCTCCACGACGTGCTCCCGGCGCTGTTGCAGTTCGCGGACAGCGCTTCGTGGCGCCAGAAGCTGGGCGCCATCGAGATGCTGAGTACAGTCTCGGCGGTCTCGAGCGATCTGATTGCGGAGGCCTTGGGACAAGTGCTGCCTGTGTTGATAGAGGCGGCGCATGCGCCGCATCGGGACGTGCAGGAGGCAGGTCAGGCGGCGTTGCTGGCGCTGGTGGAGTCAGTGAAGAACCCGCAGGTGCACGCGATGCGCGACTTGGTGTTCCGCGCACTGAGGGAACATTCAGACGCCAACTTGCTTGAGTTCCTGGAGCGCTTCGCCGGCCTCGAACTGACCCACTTCCTCGACGGCACAGCCGTGTGCATGGTCCACACACTCCTCGGGCGCGGCTTGCTTGCGGCCAAGTCGGATGTGCGATTCCGCGCGTGCCAACTCGTGGGCGTCTTGCCCGACCTGGTGGCGCCGGAACAGGAACGTCCACTGGACGCCGACCTGGCGGCCCGCGTCAAAAGCACGTTGCCTGATCTCTTCCGCAATCTTGGGGATCCGCAGCCGTACATTCGTCAGGCCGCCTCTCGTTCGATTGGGTTGCTTGCCGAGTCGCTGGGTGCGTGCGTCTACAAGGAGGCGCTGCCGTACCTCATCAAGTCGCTGAAGACGGTCGACAACGTCGTGGAACGTTCTGGTTGCGCTAATGCGTTGGTGGAGGTCTTCCGCGCACTCGGCAAAGACGTGCTCGCACAGCACCTGCCCGACATCCTCAACCAGGCCTCCAAAAACCCTGTCTACACTGTCCGCGAAGGATTCTTAGGACTCTTCGTCTACCTCCCCACCATCTTCGGAGACGACTTCCAGGACTTTGTGCCGGATTGTCTCCCCGTGCTGGTTGAGGGACTCGCGGCCGCCGAGGAGCCTGTTCGGGATATCGCCTTCCGCGCGACCCGGATCTTCGTCCAAGAGTACGGCTCCAGCCATACTCCGTTGCTGCTGGCGCCACTGGAAGAAGCCATGTTCCATGAAGCCTTCGAGGTGCGGCTCCGCGCTGTTGGGCTGCTGGGAACGTTGGTGGATAAGTTGCTAAAGGGCGTTGAGGAAAGCACGGCGGAAGGTGGTCAGCAGATGCAATTGGAGGTGCTGACACTCGAGAGACGAGCGTATATCCTGTCGGCCATTTATCTGGCGCGTGGAGACGATCAACCGGAGGTGAAGCAGCACGCCAGTGTGGTGTGGAAGAGAGTGGTCCAGAACACGCCGCGTACAGTGAAGGAGTTGCTTCCGATCCTGACACGACGCCTGATGGACTTGCTGGGTTCGGGTGACTTCACTAAAGAGGGTATTGCCAGTCGTTGTATGGAGGAGTTGATTGCAAAGCACGGTGAGAAGTTGCTGCCTGAGGTTATGGGTGTGTTTCTGAAGACGTTGCAGGCGGAGAAGGAGAAGCGTGCGTTCCGTGGCGTCTTCCTCGGTCTGCAGGCTGTGGTGCTTGCTGCGCCGCCGCTATTGTTGCGTAAGCACCTCGGACAGGTTTTGCCGATTATTCGCGACTCCCTCCTGTCGGGAGACGACCCGGCTGTGCGAGAGCAGGTGGTTAAGGCTGTGGCGCTGATGGCTGCTGCGGAGGAGGAGGCGAAGAAAGAGGCGGCACAGACGAAGAAAAAGCCGGCAGCGAAAAAGGAGGCCGCGGTGCCCGAGGTCTCGATCCACGCAGGGTTGTTGTTGCCATTGCTACGACAATGCACGGCGGGGGAAGACGAGCGTCTGTTGGACACGGTGCGATTGTTGATGGGTGTGGACTCCAAGTTGGTGTTAGCAGACACCTTGGCGCTCTGTCGCGAGGGTGCGTTGACTGTGGCCAAGGTGCGCACATTGGCCACGCTGCGGCACGCTGGCGGGACGGCGGTGGCTTCCAACCTGCGTGCGTTATTGCGGATTTTGGAGAACGGGCTCAACACCGAAAATTACGCTGTTCTGGCACCCCACGTGCGTGCGGCGCTGGAGGGTTGGTGTGCGGCACTGAGTGCGGAACAGGTGGTGGGCAAGTTGTTGCCGTTGTTGACGGACATGCTGGAGTTGAATGCGGCCAAGTTGACGGGCTCGGCATCGGACTGGCGCGCGTTTGCGAGAGATCACGACCTGAGCATTGTGTGGTCGGCGGCGAATTTCCGCGCGGCTACGACGGAGACGCAGCGGGAGCCGCGTCCGATTGCACCATGGTCGCGTGCGTTAGTTGCCATGGCTGTGGGTGCGCTGTGTCGTGGGGCCGAGTCGAGTTGTGCGCTTTGGATTAAGCCGCTTTCGACCGATTTGTTTGACGAGTTGTTGCCGCTTGCACTTTTGGACCTTGACGAATTTGTCGTCGCCGAGTGCGCCCTAATGCTCCAGAGTCTCGTCAAGACAGTCGACCGTGCGGTGCTCGTCCTGCTGGCGACTGCGGTGCACCGTGTGCTGCGTCGCGCACTGCCAAAGCCAGGTGAAGAGATGCCGAGTGAGGAGGAGGAGTTGCCTGGTCGACTGCCTGGTGCCGTAGATAAGGGTTGTTTTGAGGGGCTGATTGCCATTCTGCAGCCGGCGTTGTTGTACGGCAGCGCGGAGGTGAAGGAGCAGGCGGCGAGCGCGTTTAGTGAGTTGATTGGCGCGTCCGACAAGCCGACGTTGAGCGCGGTTGCGGTGAAACTCGCGGGACAGCTGATCCGCGGTTTCGCAGAACGTGCGAGCACGCCGGTTAAGCGGTGCGTACTCAGTTCTCTTACGCAATTGCTTAGAGTCGTTGGGGGGCCGCTGCGGTTGCTTGTGCCGCAGCTGCAGTCCTCGTTTGTGCGCTGCATTACCGACGAAGAGCTGGGTGTGCAGGCAGCACAGGCATTGACACTGCTTTCTGCACTTGCCGGCCCGCGGGTGAACCTGTTGCTGAGCGAGCTGGCAAGAACCCTGAATGAACATCCGCAGGCACAACTCACGGCGGTTGTCGGCGTACTCAAGACCGCACCGGCCGCACTCACCCCGGCCACGCTGACACAATTGCGCGCCGCACTCACTCAGTGCGAACATCCGCTTGCCACGGAAGCTGTCGAACTTATCGATGCTCTGTAACCCGCTAAAGAGAGTGCTTGCCCAAAGGGGGGTGCTTGCCCAAAGAGGGGTGCTTGCCCAAATAGGGGAATTAGTCTGTCTTGGGATATGAATTTTTGGTTGCTGGCGTTCGGCGTGTGGGCTGCTGAGCAGATTGAAGTGAGTTTCACTCCGGCCGGATGTGGGAGTTGTGGGGATGTAGGGACGCTGAATGAGGCTGTGTTGTGCGTGAACGAGGAGACGGCGGGGGGTGGGTGTATGGCGACGAGTACGTTCCGGACGTGGTGGTTGTGTGGGTCGTCGACGAATAGGGTTGGTGAGATGGAGGGTGTGATGTTTCCACACTCGAATGCGAACTATCAGATCGAATCTGTGGAGTTGAGTGTTATCCGATTGGCGGATGAGACGTTGCCTGTGCCGGACGAGCAGGTGCACCGCGACGCTTTAATGGACGCGGCGCGGAAGTGTATGGCGGGCTCGGAACTGGTCCTGATGGAGAACGGGAAGTGTGTTATGACGGGGTTCACATTACGGGTGCCGGGCGTCGCATATTCGATCCATGACCAGATGGTTGACGACGTCTACGAGGCCGTCATCAAAGCGACCTTCGCCGACCCACCGCTACTCGAGGCGCAGACTTTCGTCTTTTCCAACGATGGCGTAGCCTGCAGCGACATCGTTGACTTCAAAGTTGAGGGCATCGCACGAGCACACCCCGTCGCCGCCGTCACACGAGACGGCGCACTCAACAGCCACACCAAGTCCCTCGGAGTTGCCGCACTCCTCCTAGCCCTCGCTCCCTGACTCCGAGTGCCTATACAACTTACGGCGAGCGCCAACTGGCGCGGGCCTCTGAAACTTATGGTGGAAGTGACCTGCTGGAAATCTACGATGACGGCTGCAAACCGGAGAAGGGGACGATGACGGAACTAGTGTACCATGACGGAACTAGTGTACGATGACGGGACGAACTCACGATGACGGGACGAACTCACGATGACGGGACGAACTCACGATGACGGGACTAGCATATAAATACATGTAATGACGGGAATAACTTAATGGGACTACCTGGTGGTCGTTAGACTGCCTGAAGACTTGGGGCGAGCTCCCTGACTTGGGGCAACTGCCTGGCTGAGATGCGCGGAAAGGATATCTGGAAAGGGTGCCTGGAAAGGATACCTGACGAGAAGAAGTGCGGGTCGACCCCGGCTCGGCGTCGGTGGCGTTCGAGTTGAGACACATTTGGGGGGACCGGTTGTGTGCACAGTGCACGGCGTTCTCGGATGTTTTCTGAGCCGAGTCCTGGAGCCCAGTGCGTCAGCCTGGGCAGGCAGGTAAAAAGACGGACGAGGCAGACGCAGGCAGGGGTAAGGCAGACGCAGGCAGGGGCAAGACAGACGCAGGCAGGGGCAAGGCAGACGCAGGCAGGGACAAGGCAGACGTCAAGTTTTTATTCTATGAACCGACAAATAAGCAGTACGTGTGATACGGAGGGGGTGGGGGGTTGTGTTGTGTACACGTGTGTGTGCGTTGCAGGACGGTTTCAGGAGACATGTCGGACGGCGGAGGAGCTGGCGACGGCGACGTCTCCCTGGGGCTTGAGTCGGCACGAGGCGTCACGGCGGTTGATAAATGCGGTGGAGACGGCTATGAGGCATTCTGAGTTGGAGGAGACGAAGAGCAAGTTGGTGGAGGCATCGGAGACGAGTCGGCTAAGTCTGTTTCCGAAGTTGACGAAGAGACTGCCGGGACCGATTCACTACTTCGTGGGTACGGAGGACGGGTTGATAGGGATGGTTTGTATGCTACTGGTTGCGGTTTTGTCTGCGCTGCCACCGATTCCTGTGTACGTGCCGACGATTCCCGCACTGGACCAGATGTGGCCGGGGCAGGATGTGGCATCCTCCCGGGATGTGGCATCCTCCCAGCATGTGGCATCCTCCGCCGCCTTAAGTCCGCCTTCTTCACCGCATGTGGCAGTAGGTACGGCAACATTGCGGCAGTCTTTGTACTATGCGTGGCTATGGTTACCATATTTGGTTGGGAACGCTTGGACGTACTATGTGATGAGGCGGGTGGAGAAGATCCGTGCCATGTCACAGTTGCAAGAGGCGTTGACACAGTACAAGGCGAGTCTACATCGTGAGTACGCTAGTAAGCATCGTAAGCCGGTACTAGAGGCGACGACCTGTGAGATTTCGATTCCTTCGACGACTTTAGTAAGTGTGTTACGTGAAGGCGAATGGACGCGGTTGCCGTACAACTTGGTGGTGTATGGTGACACGTTTAAATTGCGGCGTGGGGATGTGGCTCCTTGCCACGCGATTCGTGTGCAATTACGCTCCACATTTCGGCAGTCACGAGTCGGCAGTCTGCCCGACTCGTATGCCGTGGTATATGATGAGGCATCCATTGACAAGGGGAACGTGTTCGATGAAGACATGGGTATGTTCGTGAGTACCGATACACCGGCCGTACAACAGGTTAGTAAGTTTCTTGAGTCAGCCACGCAAGCAAGGTCTTCGCGTTCGGCCGCCTTTAGTGACAGTCTGGCGGCGCCCTTTATTAGCAACGCTGAACGCATTTATGTCTGGACCGTGCGTCCGGCCATGCTTCTTTCCTTCCTGGCTGCATGTGCCGTCGTGTGTGCCCGATATGTGGCCGCCATCTGCCACTCACACGATGTCTTCCCTCTCTTCCCCAGCGCTGCTGCACGCAACTATTTACTGTCGCCCCTCATCCTCTTGATGTTATGCAACCCTATGATCGTCCGATTCGTCGACCACTTCTCCGATATCTGGGCCAACGCACGTCTTCAGTCACTCTTCCTATTCCACCACGAACGACGCTACGGCCAACAAAATGAAAACGAAGACGCCGCACCAGGAGCCGACGAAACTGCCGCCGAAGAAGCCGCCGACAGTACATCACTTCTCTCCAGCAGCAGCGACGACTCTGTACTCAGCGACACCGGCTTCAGCAGACCGTCCTCCGTCCATTCTGACGTCTCCGTCAGCAGAGTCCCATTCCGAAAACAACTACAGGAACTTGTTTCCGTTTATAGACAAGGACTCGACGGCAGCACCAATCTACTACACGCTCTCGCCAGCACCACCTACCTGTGCTTCATAGACCAAGACGCACTACTCACTGACACCTCCGGACAAATGAAAGAAATCTGTGTCCTCCAAGGCACAGATAACCCCGAAACACCCGCCATTCGCAAAACCGGCACCGTACCCTGCCCCCAAGGACGCGACCAGCATTCTCCAAGTCCAAAACCACCGGGCGCAGCTCCAGACGGTCCCAGATTAATGCCAGACGGTCTTACTCCAGACCACCTGACACCAGACATCGGTCTGACTCCAACCGTCGGTATGGGGTCAGACGCTCACGGCCTTGGTTCGGAAGCCCTTGATTCGGAAGCACTTGGCTCGAAAGCACCTGGTTCAGAGGGCACAATTTCAGAAGGTCCAGACGGCACGGCGATTCCAGGTCCAAATGCCGTTTGCAGGACCGGCGCGCCGCTGGGGCAAGAGTGGTCGGAGGACCTCCAGGAAATCCGTGTAGGCACCGACGTTAAGTTCCGCCTACCCAAGACCCGCGAGGGAAGCAGGTTGGTCGCTGGAGCCCATGTGGTCACCGGGACCCGGCTGGCCGCCGGAGCCGGGTTCGTGAGCAGCAAGACCGCGGTGGCTGGACACAGACCTGTCGCCTCAGGCGCTGGACACCGCAAGACGGGCGGGGGCCTTGGACCCACCGTGGGGTCCACCCTCGAAGGGTCTTCCATTGGCGCTCTACGTTCTGAGCCGGTCGAGGGGTCCAGTTCTAAGCCGGACGAGTCTGGCGGCGGCTGGAGAGAGGCGAATGTGGCTTTACCGCGTCCGAGGCTGGAGCAGCGAAGTACTTGCCTGGTGACGGGTGAGGGGGGAGGTTGGGATTCTCGGTTGGTGGTGGAGGCTGGAAATCGTTTCTCGAGTATGGCTAGTTCGAGTTCAGTGCCGGACTTGCCGACAATAGCACTGGCTCGGCGACGGGGTGAGGCGATAATTGGGGCGATTCCGGAAGACGGGTCATATGTGTCAGAGACTTGGCGGCGTCGGGAGTTGGTCAGAGTCGGAGACACGTCTGATGAATTTTCGATGGAAGACCTGTTTTCTCGGGAGTTCCCACTCCATGGGTCCCCGCTCCATGGGTCCCCACTCCATGGGTTCCCACTCCATGGGGGTCCTCTTGGTGGGGGTCCTCTTGGTGGGGGTCCTGTTGGTGGGTTCCGCGGATTTACTGATGATGATTTGCCCAAAAAGTCTGCCCGGTTCCGTGTGCACGCATTGCAGTTAACGACTACGGCATACGACGAAGGTTTCTACGATGCGTATGAGCGTGAGAAATCGCGTTTCTCAATGGAGTCAGCGGAGGAGCCGTACATCCGTTTTGTAGATGAGAGCTTGGGTAGGCAATTGGAGCCGAATATCATACCCCTGGCGCTTGGATTGAAATTGACGCAGGTCCCTGCGATCCCGAAAATGGTTGGTGCCTCCGTTGGTTGGCTACACACTCAACGACTTCACGACATTTTTCAAAGGGAGGACTGGGACTGGAACTGCTGTCTCTGCGCCGCCGGAGATGTCGTAGAAAATTGCAGTCCACGCGTCAACCGCTTCGCCCCCATCCGACATGTCGTCCTACTCTCCAGTGGCGAAGAACTACGCGACTGCGAACCCCTCCTGGCAGATAACATGGAACTCACTCTACCCGATCTACCAAGTTATAGACAATCAGAAACTGAACGTAGACCGCTACTTTACGCCGTTCTCGCACGGGAAACATTACCTTACGCACGCTCAGACACACCAGCTTCCGCGAATACGAATGTTGCGGGGACCACACCCTTGGCGGAGTCTAATCCGGAGACGAAGACCTCGCAGTCGAACACCTCGCAGTCGAACACCTCGCAGTCGAAGACCTCGCAGTCGAAGATCTCGCAGTCGAAGAACTCGCAGCCCACAGGCAAGTTGGTAGTGACCGCTCCTCGGCGGTCGTTGTCGGTTCATGTTCCGCAATTCACGCCCAACAGGTCCAGTGCTCTGCGACAAGCCTGGCGGGCCTCAAGCGAGAACCTCAAGACACGCGTGCGACGAGTGGACGCGAAGCGTCGGAGGTCTCGAGTCCTCCAAGAGGCAAAGCCCGAAGGCGACTCATGGCCAGAGGACCTGGACGGCGGCGGCTTGAAGGAGGATTCCTGGCCCGAGGTCGCTTGGCATGATGTCGCCTGGCGTGACCCTTCGTGGCCGGATGCCACGCGGGTTGCTTCTGTAACACAGGACTCACAAAGCTGCGAGGCCTCGAGAAAAAAAAGCGGGGACGAGAGTGCTAAGGTGAGTGTGCGGGACGACGGGGGGAAGTTAACCACTAACAGCCAACCAGTAGAACAGGATGTGCACTTGTTCTTGAAAGGTTTGCCGGAAACTTTGTTGCGCGTTTGTCGGTGGTATTTTGACGGGACGAAACTGGTGCCGATGGACGAGGAAGTGCGGACGAAATTGGAGACCCTGTTGATGCAATGGAAGAGCGAAGGTTTCGTGGTATATGGGGTTTCGTATGGGCAGATACCGGAAACCGTTGGGTCGTATTTGCTACAGAGTCTTGAGGAGTACACATTACTTTCCACTACAGAAGAAGGCGTGCTGGATCCCACTGTGCACTGGGAGCCACTTATAGGTTATCCAGGGCCCCGGAGTGTATTTCGAAGACCGGAGCCATTTGTATATCCGAGCTGTCTGGAGGAGAAGAAGGACTTGACAAACTCATCGGAGCCGACAATGAACTTTTTGAACTACAATAACAAGTTAATCAGGACTCCCTACCAAGCCTTCCTGCCAAACGAACAGGAGGAGCCAGGTGTTAATGGAACGGATGGTGTGAAGGCGGATGGTGTGAAGGCGGATGGTGTGGTTGTGAAGGCGGATGAGAAGGACGCGGGTAAGGACGCGGGTAAGGACGCGGGTAAGGTAGCGGATAATCTGTGGTTGTACCATCGTGTGTCATGGTTACCTCATAAATGTCAAGTGCGGGGAGCTGCTATGTTGAAGCGTTTAGTTCATAGTAACCTTGTATTATCAGGTTTGGTGGCGTTGAAGATTTCGACGTCACCCGGAGTGCCGAAAAGAATTAATGATTTTCATTCAGCTGGGGTTCGTTTCTCTGTGTTCTCAGCAGGGGATGTCCGGGAGACTCGTCACTTGGGTGAGCTTCTAGGTTTGGAGACAGGTTGGAATTGTTTGATATCATTGGAGGACCATGATCGTGATGAAGGGTTTATTAATCAGGAGGGTAATGAGGTTTTACCATCTGGAATACCTTGTATTCGTAAACATGTTCGTGATGTAGATAATGTTCCGCTATTGGTATCGTTATACGCTAATTCTACTCCTAAAACAGTATTGCAATTTATCAAAATATTACAAGCTCAAAATGAAGTTGTTACCGTTGTTGGTAGTGCCTTAAAGACTAGCAACTTTGATGTATTCAAAATCGCTTCATGTCCTATTAGCATATTACCCACTCCTCATTCGTTATGCATCAATTGCCATGGACGTACATGTGTAGGACCTAGATACTCACCCAAATTGTTACCAGAATATTCATTTTCTGCCGCCTTAACATCATTACCATGTGCTCTTCAATCCCACGCAGTTTCTTTCCGTTCTAGTGAGTGGAAAAACGAAGGAAAAAAATGGACTAATTTTGGAGGAACAGAATGTAATGAACCACCAGAATTCTTACTACAACTTCTTTACTCTATATTTCAGGAAGCTAGACGACTCATGTCCGGTATTCAATCAGCAATTACACTCGTAGTTCTAATTAACGGCATATTTCTCAGCGGAATCTTATTCACTGTTATTGTCTTAAATCTACCACCTGTTATGGACATACAAGACATATTCATGTTCCTTACCGTCTATGTTCCTCTCATTAGCTTCGTCATGCTTGCTAACCCCGCTAGACCTGGGCTCATGACGACACTTCCATCAAATATATTACCCGAAAATAAACCAAAAACATACGGATCGAAATTCAACCGAAACAATCCTAAAGAAGAACTACCATTTACTGCGGATTCGGCACTACTACCATCGACCGGTTCTCCACCACTATTATCAAAGTCGACAGAACCCAAGCCGCAATTTGCCAATAAAAAACTTCGATTCCACAATAACAATGATCCCATAACAGGAATTTATTCAAATTCAGACTCTATTCAGAGTGACCTTAGTCAAGGTCCCTCAAATGTGTGTACTACAGTTGTGACCCGGGAACCTGAGCAGTCTTATGGCGGTCAAATTGACGCTGGTCAAATTGACGCTGGTCTAATTGACGCTGGTCTAATGGACGCTGGTCAAATTGACGCTGGTCTAATTGACGCTGTATCACTCGATCAGCACGCAAAAATTACCCCGGGACTTGAACCAAAAGCCCAGCCAAGACCTGAACCAAAAGCTCAACCGCTCGGTTCCCACTCTGCACGTACGTCTGACTCTCAGTCTGCAATACAATCTGCAATACAATCTGCAATACAATCTGCAGTGCAGTCTGCACCTGAAGGGCAGACGGCGACAAGGGCGGTGCCAGAGCCGTTACTGCCGCCGGTCGTTGCAGAAACCTCGGGCAACCAGGATAGTTCGATGAAGGGTGTGGTTCCAGCGAAGCAGGGGATGGATGTGGCAGCAACAAACAACATGGCTGCAGTGGCGGACGTGGAGGGTGACGGTGAGGGCGACTCAGGCCACGAGCGTGGGTTCCGGTTCCTGTTGAAGAAGGGTATTTTGCTACAGGTGGGTAAGATGGTAATTCCGTTGATAACGACGGTATGTGTCGTGGAATGGTTGTGGGCGAGTTCGGTTAAAGCGGCCGGTGTGGCTGCAGGGTCTTGGACGGCGGACGCGTTGCCTTCGACGTGTAGTGTGTGGTCTCAGTGGTGGGAGTGTTTACGATTGGTAGATGTGGCTTGGATGTCGGTGGGAGTGAGTAGTGCGGACTTGTTGACGGTAACCTCACAGGTTGCCGTGGTTGTCATTGTGGTCCACCTGTTCGTGCTCAGTGTCTGTCATGTATCGCGCTACGACAGTGTCACCTCCTACAACCCTTTTGAAAACAAGGCACTTCCTGTCGTCTTCGCGCTCATCTTTGCCGTGGTCGGCGCCAAGTTCGCCCTACTAACCGCACATCTACCCCGAAACGTGTGGGACGCCGTCGCGCCCTCCTGGGGCTGGTGGCTCTGTACCTGCGGCTCCCCCGTACTCACCCTCGTCGCCACCGAAACCATCAAGTTCATTGACCGACGCCAACACGCAAGACGCCAAAAATTCCTCCGCCTCTTCTTCCACACCAGACTAGGCATGTGGTCACCTAAATAAATGACCAGCCGACAAGTAGACCAAACATGCATTAAGTGAAACTCAAGTGTTGTCCAGGTGACCCACCCGCAGCTCACCCAAAGGGCCGCGGGCTAAAAGATTTGGTCCGTAACGACTACCGGGCTCCCCAACAAGTCTTCACGGGGCAGAGTCTTAGTCAACACGTGCCGGAACCGCGGCGGGGCCAGCCAATCTATTAGTGTCTCCGAGTTGTTGACGTGCGGATGAATCTTTGGCTCCGAGATTAAAAAGGCTGCAAGGAAACCTGTGACCAAGAAGACGACGACGACCAAGAGAACTTGGGTGGTTAAGAGGAATTGGGTGGCCAAGAGGAATTGGGTGGTTAAGAGGAATTGGGTGGCCAAGAGGAATTGGGTGGCCAAGGAAACTGCACCCAAAGTGTGCGTGTCAGTGCTATGTGTGCGACTGCGTCACAAGTGGTTGGTGGTTACCTCGGTCAAGAGACTTGTGCCAGGAGTGTAGTGGTGCCCTGAATTTGCGGTTGAAGGTGAGGTCGATGAAGGTGAGGTAGGTGAAGCGGTCGCTGAGGGAGACGGCTAGTGTGTAGTCGTCATTGCAGGAGTAAGCGTTCTTCCCTTTGACGGAACTGGCGATAATAAGGACGTCGGGAGTGTGGAGCTTCTCGCCGAGAGTATATGCTTGACAAGAGTCAACCAACAATAGGACTCTATTGAAGCCTCCCTTCAGTTTCAGTTCGTAGAGAGTGCGGTCGATTTCCATGGTGGAAAGCTCATCGAAATCTCGGAACTTCGTGAAACCTGAACCGCCATGACCATTCAAATATATTAACAGATCAGCCCCCGGGACAGGTCGAGGGGGGCTGGGTCGAGGGGGGTCGGTTGTAGAATTGTTCACGGCCGCTTCTCCGGAAATAATAAGTGGTTGGGTGGTAGCTCGGGACCGGCCAGTCGGGGTTGCAAGAAATCGAGACTTGAGAGAGTAATATGGAGTCAAAAACCGGCCTGACAACAAAGTAGTCCAGGCCTTACTCGATGCCAGACTATTCTTGAACGCGATTCGTAACACTCCCTTGTTCAAATCCACATGATGTGACGGACTTATATAAGCCTGTCCGTGTAAAGAGTTTCTTGGATCGCAACTACTACACTCTCCAATCATGAGATAAAGCTGAAGAGAAGGGGATTCCAGACAACTAACTCTCAGGACAGACAACTAACTCTCAGGACAGACAACTCTCGGGCCAGATCAGACAGACAACTCTGTGTCCAAAACAGGAGCCCGGACAAAGATGGACACTGGTGGGCTTACATAGTCGGCTTACATGGTCGTCTGACATACCGAACCATTTCATTAGTCGGTATATAGCGAGTGCGTTCATTTCATGCCTGTAATTTTGTATGTACTTCGAAGTTGATATAACGATTCCGTACAAGTCGGTTCCAGGCAAACTCGTCGGCATAATCCCCTGTTCCTCCTGAAGGACCTGTAACTCGTCTTGAGGCACTATAAAATGTCTAAACAACTTGTCTATTGCTCCGGCTATCTTGTCATTCGTAGTCTCTGTTGGCTCCGGATATGCCCAAATCATTGACACCAGCACTATTCCCCAAAACAGCCGCATTCCTTCGATTTCTGTCCCAAAACAAAACCTCCCGCGCCCACCTTTAAAAGAAATAAGAGGATCCGATTATGCCTGAAGAGAGCGCCACAAGTGGCTACCGCTTAGACCAAGACACTCTGGGGCAGGTCCCTGTACCTGAAAATGCCCTGTGGATGTCACAGACGGAACGTTCGCGTAATAACTTCCCCTTTCCAGCGACCGAACGAATGCCGGAGGAGGTGATTTTGGCTTTAGCGCGCGTCAAACACGCGTGTGCGGTGGTGAATCAGAAGGCGGGCAGGCTCGAGAATTCGGTGGCGGAGGAGATAATTAAGGCCTGCGAGCGAATTGAGACTTCGCTCGCGTATCCTAATGAAGAGAATCGTCCAGAGGAGAATTGCGAGCGCGGAGATGACTACATGAGCCAGTTCCCTTTGGTAATTTTCCAGACGGGTAGTGGAACGCAATCGAATATGAACATGAATGAGGTGGTTGCCTCTATATGTAATCAAGCTCTCGGTCAGCCACTGGGGTCAAAGGGCCCCGTCCATCCGAACGATCATGTGAACAAAGGTCAAAGTAGCAATGACGTGTTCCCGACTGCGGCGCACGTTGCGGTATGTTGCGCTTTGTACCATACTTTGTTGCCTGCGATGCGGCAGTTTATCGAACTGCTTCAAACAAAGGTGGAGGAGTTTGGTTCAGTAGTCAAGGTTGGCAGGACGCATCTCATGGACGCGGTACCTATGACTCTTGGTCAGGAATTTAGTGCGTATGTGTATAATATGAGGGCTGTTCTCGGCCAAATCGAATCTTCTTTGTGCGGGCTGCGGAAACTCGCCATTGGCGGTACGGCTGTAGGCACTGGACTTAACTCATACCCAGGGTTCGACTTGGAAGTTAGCAAAGTTTTAACGGACTTAATGGGTACTGACGGCAACCATTTCGAGCCCAGTGAAAACAAATTCGCAGCTCTCTCTACCGTCACCCCCCTAGTTAACCTCGCTGGCTGCCTAACCACCTTGGCCACAGTCATGAGCAAAATGGCCAACGACATACGGCTTCTCGCCTCGGGTCCACGCTGCGGATTGAACGAACTACTCCTCCCAGAAAACGAACCAGGGAGCAGTATCATGCCAGGCAAAGTTAATCCTACACAGTGCGAGTCTATGGCGATGGTAGCCGTACAAATCATGGGCTGTTGTCATACTGTTAAAGTAAGTTCATCAACCACCTGGACCTGCTGCGGTACTGGACCTGGTGCGGTACTGGACCTGGTGCGGTACTGGACCTGGTGCGGTACTGGACCTGGTGCGGTACTGGACCTGGTGCGGTGCTACACCGACCGGTATATATTTTAGTTGTGCAACTTGTATGGTCATTTACAACTGAACGTGTATTATCCCGTAGCCACGGCGAACATTTTGAGAAGTATTAAGTTGGCTGTAGTTAGCTTAAAATCTTTCGCAGAGCGCTGTCTGGTAGGTGCCCGCGCGAATGAGGCTCGAGAGATTGAATATTTGGAGAAGAACCTGATGGTCGTGACTGCCTTGAATCCAATCATTGGCTACGATAAGGCAGCCAAGGTGGCAAGACATGCTTATGTCAATAACAAGTCTCTGAGAGAAGCTGTTCTTGAATTAGGTGTTTGTAAAGAGGAGGAATTTACTGATGCAATCGATCCAAAAAAAATGTGCTAAGCCTGCCATCTCACTTCATACCAGAGTGACTTCATTAAAGATCCGGACTGGCTACCCTACCGTCCGGTTAGGTAGGCTCCTGCCTTCCGGTCAGGTAGGCTCCTGCCTTCCAGTCAGGTAACCAGCTTCCGGTGAGGTGCCTTCCAGTCAGGTAACCAGCTTCCGGTGAGGTAACCTAACCAGCTTCGGGTTGAATTTCGGGTTGCATCCTGCATCAGGTTTCGCAGAGTTTTGATTGTGTCAGGTGCCAGTTTTGCCAGAGGAGGGTGAGTTTCTTTTCCATTTCGTCTCCTTCCCGTTGGAGAGGTAGTTCGCCGGGGCCGGGTGACAGTGGTTGTATATCTTCCATTTCCTTTCTGAAGTGTTCGAAGCGGCCTGTGGTGGCGCACTTGATGGCCTCAGTAAGGAATCGGAAAGTTGAGGACCCGCAGACTTCGGCGGGTGGATAGACCATAATGACTTGAGTGAGTACTTGTGTGACAGTGCGGACGAAGCGAGCTTGAGAGGATAGAGCTTGTCGGGTGGACAGATTTTCAGAGTGGAAGAAGGGGTCGGTCATGGCATAGTAGTGTTCGATTATTTTTTTGCATGAGAAGAGTGCATTTCGGTGGCTGGGTTCAGGATTGTTGGATGGTACGTCGGCAAGGTCTGGTATGGTGTGTTTGTCAGGGTGATCACAGCCGGGTATAGTGGCAGGTAGATATCCCAGTCGGTAGAACGGATTGGACGTGTAGGTGCAGAAGGTTAATGCCCGGAAGGCGTCTGTACCGGCCAGTGCCAAGACAAAGGAGGCAGTGGGTTTATTTTGGATGAGGACTGCGTGTAGGTTGCAGCATTCTTGATGGAAGTGTCCTGCAGAGACGGCTGTGGTAACGACCTGGGTGGCCAGTCGAGAGGCCAGCCAGTAGTGTCGTATGAAACGTATAGTCGCTGATTCCCCGGTGTCTTCTAGCACCCGTGCCAGCTTGTACGGCGGAATGAGTACAATACCCGGTAGTTTCCGAGGAGCTGTCTCGAACATTATCCATGACCCGCCGTCACGGACACCCAAATGCTCAAAGAGACGACATGCCACACCCGCGCGATAAGAGATGCCTACTGAATTGACACGAGAGAATCGCAGTAATTGAGAGTATGGGTGGTAATTATACCGATTTACCGTTTCAGATAATGCACTCCGACGGTACTGAGTTATTACCTTCACCAAGTTCGCCACCATCCCTCTTTTGTCGTCACTGATGTCAGTACTGGCTCCGGATCCACTGCGAGGGGGAGACGAAGAGGTGAGACGGGCGAGATCGAGAGTGTACGCCAACGGTGACGAGGGCGGGGGGATCTCACCGTAGCCGAGCCTGGGCATGAGTCCCGTGACCCGTCGGGGGGTGGTTATGACTGGGAAGAGGGCGGGCATCATGGCGGAGTCGACTTGGTTGAGTTCATGGTCGCTAACCAGTTCTTTGGTCATAAACCGGGTCTGAAGCTGGCGACTCCGGTAGGCGCCGGCAGCCTTGATCTTGTTGAAGTAGGGCATGGGATTAAGACATTGCTGGAACCAACGGAACGCATCATGGACTTCTTTAATTTGAGGGTCAAGAAAATTGGCGGTTTCCTCCCACTCTTCGCAAGTGTCAAGGGAAGCATACAAGCTCGCCGAAAGATTATCCTTGAGTTGCAGATTTAGCCGCTCGCCAGGTCGGTCGGCCTGTAGACAAACAGTGGACTGTAGAGGTGACAGTGCGACCCAACTCCGTGGGACATGGACGAGCGACGAATATGGAGCAAGTGCATACTCATCCTCCACAACCGCCGGCACGTAACCAAGATCCTCCCGTAGTTGCATGGCCCGTTGGCCATCCAAGTATCGGCCCTGGGCATTGGTTACCAACCTCACTATCTTGACCGAAGATGTATAACCACTTAAAACCTGCCGGTCCAAAAACGAAGCCTGTAGGCCGCGGAATGCACTAGATAATTTCGCCAACAAACGAAAGGATCGAGGTGATACATTCAATCCAACAGCCGCTGTACTCAATATATCTCGAACAATACCCCGTTCTACCGGGGTTAAGATGTCTTCACATAACTTCATTAACGAACCCAATGGATTCAAAATGCCTTTAAAGTAAATCCAAGCGGGTCCAGACGACTCCTCACAACCTATATCCTCTTCCAAGCTTGACGACTTAGCTGTCAAAATCCGCAACGCGTCCAAGCACACGTGTGTGTTGTAAGGACTTGCGAAAAAATCCTCCTCCAAATTCATCGCCCACCGAGACCGCACTCGGTAGTTGTGATCCAATCCATCAATCTTACCCAAAGCATAACACCCTGTATTAGTTAGCAGTGTCGAAGCGCCGTCCACCACATCCCGCAAAAACGCACTGTCCCTTCGGATCAGGCGATACGATAATTGTGAACGAGACGGCTGAAAACCAGGCGGGAAATAATCGCCGTCCTCACTGGTAACCTGGCCTCTATCCCGACGTCCTTCCCGACTTACGTCTCCACCTACATCCTGACTGTCTTCCTGACTGCCACCGTCTTGAATTCTCTTTTGTTCCAGATCCCGACCGGAGTCCTGGTTCTGACCGGAGTCCTGATTCTGACCGGAGTCCTGATTCTGACCGGAGTCCTGATTCTGACCGGAGTCATGATTCCCACTTCCTTGGTCTGTGTCCGGCTTGCTATCCACCTTACTGTCGACGAGTTGTCCCTCTGGAGCAAGACCTTCGCTATCTCGTCTCCGGCTACGACGCTTCCTCGTTCGTTTCTGACTCGGTTCGTCTAAGAGGAGCGCCGCTGCCAATGTCGAGGGCGAGTCTTTGGTTCGATAGCGGTGGGAAATTTGCACGCACCGATCCAGATCCGCAAAGAGGTCGAACCGATCGGTTCTGCGGTCCGAGCGGGGCTCTGCGCTCATCCCGGATGGACAGTTTTGTAAAACGGCACTGTAAATAGCGGGCGCGAGAATGTTTTCCCCCTCTGAGCAAATATGGTCGAGCGAGTAAAACAAAGTCTCCATGTTACTCATCAAGTCGGTGCTGGCCGTGCGCACTCGCCCCACCACTCGAAGGAGACTCGCAAATTCCTTCCGGCTGTCGCCAACTGGCCCAACCTCCTGCGCCTTTGTAAAAAAGGCGTACAACGCCGGCTTGCTTGTGCCTTTCTCCTTGCCAGAGTCTTGGGCCTTGTCAGAGTCTTGTGCGCCAGGGACTCCGAGTTTGTCGTCTTGGTCGGTTTGGTACCAAGAGATGAATGCGCATCGCTGCTTCAATGCAGTCAGCCAGGGGCGTCTGTCGAAAATGACCTTGTAAAAATAGGCTGCCGGATCAGGTGAACCGAAACCTCCGTTTGATTGACGTTCGCCGACGATGCTAAGGTAGGGTAGGACCTCATTGATTGTGCGGCAGGCCGTCTCAACGTTCTGAGCCAGCACTGCGTCCCGGACGGCATGCTCTGCCCTTTCCAGGAGCCCTAGTCGGCCAGGTAGTAAGGCAGGGAAGGCGGCAAATAAGGACCACATTTGTCCAGGGGAGGTCTTGAGAGCAGCAGATCCCGGGTTCGATTCCAACCCCGGAGTGCGTGTTTGGACGAACTCGGTTTGGGCGAACTTGGCGTACCTGTCAATCAGTTGCGCCACGTCCACGGGTCCGGCCTCCCAGGGTCCGCCGACAGAGAATTTGTTACGGTGTAGACCGGACTGCCACCTTTCCAGAAAGGCCGTCCGGACGAGGAAGGCGAGGTGGGTAATCACAGAGTCTTGGTACTCGTTCCGTGGGAGCAACAGGTAGTCGGGTGGGGCGTAGAAGGGATTATTGGGTTGCCGCCTAACTAGAAGTCGGGCCAGTGCCCGGCATTTGCGCGAAAGTAAGCAGTTGAGGTGCTCGTCTTGTAGCACTTCGCCAGCGCGCTTGTAATAAAATGACTCTGCCGCCGCCACCCACAGGGTGGCCTCAGTGGCATCCATTACGCCCGTGGAGGCTCTCAAGGAACGCGCCCACGCCACCCACCGCTTCCGGATCTCAGATAACACCCTAATCTCAAAGCAGAAATCTTCCGACAACCCGAACGACCCATCAACGGACAGACTCAATTGTCCGGCATAGTACGCGACCCACGAAAGCACCTGTGCCTCTTCATTCGTCGTCTCGGACTTGAAGTCGTATTCCCCTCCAGGGTTCTCACTTCGACTAGAATCGGTCTCGCTCCGACTTCGACTTCTGATGAAGTTGTTTCGTGATGATGTGTCTTGTCCATCAGTATCTTCCACGCCAACGTCTTGGCTGTCACTGTCCTCGCCCTGGCTGTCATTGTCATCAACGCCTTCGGTGCCGTTGTCAGCATCCACGCTGATTAGGTTGCTCCACTCATTCTCACACCACTTCTTGAGGTGGTTATCTGGCACGATTTCGACATTGGCTAGGAAGAGACTAGCGAGCGGGGCATTGTGCATATTGCCGGCTGTGTTCCGCGGGTCCTCCAGGATCGATTCCCATGTGAAACCCGGGATGGCGTCTCCGTCGCCGCCGCCGCCGGGATTCGAATCATCTGCCGGGTTTGTGTCGGCGGTGTTTGTATTAGCGGCGGCGGCGGCGGGATTCGAACCAGCATCCAGTTTAGCGTCGGCCGCCAGTTTACGGGACACACCAGCCATATCAACCTCTCGGCCGCAAGGAAACCAGATACAAGTAGTAATGCTCGCCAGCGCATCCACCATGTGACACTTGTATAGACTCCGACTCAAGTTCATCGCTAGCGACGGGAAGGAAAGTGGCAACGGCTTAGCTGCTTCGTTCCGTTCGACCAAGGAAGCGCCCGCCAAGGCCCTGCACAGCCGCTCCGCCGGTGTAACCTTCCGAGAGAGCGGCTTTACCCGCCGTCCGCCTTCCACAGGCCAGCCAGCGCCTCCCAGTAGCTCAACCAAAATTAGCAGCCATACTGTCATATATCTGCACCATAAACATGCAACCTGAAAAAGCCTACAGAACTCCTGGCCTGACTTGAGCTGATAACGCCGGGATTCGAACCGTCGCCGGGATTCGAACCGTCGCCGGGACTCGAACCGTCGCCGGGATTCGAACCGTTGCCAGAAGTCGAACCGTCGCCGGAAGTCGAACCGTCGCCGGGATTCGAACCGTCGCCGGGATTCGAACCGTTGCCAGAAGTCGAACCGTCGCCGGAAGTCGAACCGTCGCCGGAAGTCGAACCGTCGCCGGGATTCGAACCGTCGCTCACCAACAAAACTAGAACAACGCCGTTCTAGAAGAACACAATAAGGTACATCGCCATCGCGAAAAGGAGCACCGCCAACACCAACTGCTTCAGCAATTCCAGCACCCCTACTCGCTCCGACCGCATGAAGTTTGCCATTCGCCGGTTGCTACCGACGGTGGCGTCTTGGTTGCGCTCCTGAGCGGCCTTAGCCCTCTCGATCACGTCGTCATCCTTCTTAATGATCTCTCGCATCCGTAAAAAGGACAACCTCATCGTCTACAAGCACCCCGGTGTGTCCCACTAGGGTATGTGTCACTAGAGTGTGTGCCACCATGGTGTGTGCTACCATGGTGCGTGCCATGGTGTGTGCCCTCGAGGTATTTATTACCTCGGTAGTAAGGCCGATTTCCTCAATGAGATCTTTCTCCTGGAGATCGGGTCTTTCGAAGCCCGACGACTGGAGTGGAGGTGCACCGGGCGACGGGATCGTGGCCGGGCTCTCGGCGGCCAACTCCACACCAGAGAGGTGCGCCACGGCGGGTTCGATCGATGCTTCGTACTTCTCCCGCAGAGTCTCGGTCGCTTCGTAAACGTAATCGAGTTCCGCCCTCCACGCATCCGCTACCATAGGATCGACAAGTGTGTGCAAGCAGGGGACTTACTGGACTCGCTTTGGGCATCTCGAAATTTAAGGATTTCATCGAGGTCATGGATCATCTACATTGGCCCTTCCGATGTGTGCAAGCATGCCGGGTGCGTGCCAATCGTCGATCGGCTTACTGTGTAGACTTTAGAGAGATTTATTCTGTCCATTTTCTCTTGTGTCAATCTCTTGATGTATTCAAGCTTGGACTTGACCTTCAAATCCTCGGCTGCCGAAGTCGTCTCGACTGCCGAGGTCTCGGCTGCTGAGGTCTCGGCTGCTGAGGTCTCGGCTGCTGAGGTCATTTGAAAAAAGACTGCCAAAAAGCTTTTGAGTTGTCGAAAAAATCAAACATCATTTCCGTACGGCAGGACCATTTTCGATCCGCTAATTCGTCTAAGGAGAAGGACAGTGTGGGTACAGTGCGAGTGCCGTAAAGGGTAGAGTGGGGATACTGTGGGAATGTGTGTGGACAGGTTGGATTACGCCAAGTAGTAGTAGTAGAAGAAGTCTAGGTAAAGCGCGACCTGTATGGTGCCGCCTATCCAGCCAATATAGTTGACGAAGCCTTCGGTGTAATATCTGTAGACCCAGTTGACGATGTAGAAGAGTCTGTAGAGTCCCATTGCTACGACGTAATGGGAGGTGAGATTCTCGACCACGCGGTTCTTTTGCAGCAGGGTCAGTTGCGGCAGGATGGCTACAGCTTCGAACCAGATGGAGAAGGTCCACAAGACTTCAGTGGGGTGGTAACTGTCCGGTGTCAGCAGGGCCAATAGAACACACGGCGGGAGCAGGAACTTAAGGTATGGGAACCTGTCTCCCTGCTTGTCGTAAGTTTCGCTGATAGGAGGCTTAAACCGCATCAAGTATATAATGTATGCCGTGCTCGTAATGAAGATCACCTTCATGCTCGTGTTGTACACAGACACGAAGCTGTAAAGCAAATCCAAATACCGGGTGCCGAACACGATCAAGTACATCTCTTGCATCTTGCACGAAATACCACTACAGCTCCGACTACTCCGCAATTTATAGAGCAACAACAAAATTGATGCTAAGTGCAACATATCTCCACAGAGCCGAAAGACATTCATCCTGAAGCAACATTTCTGTGCTGTATCATTCCCAGTTCTACCCCCCGGGTGAGGTCTCTTCTGGGTTGGTGGGGGGTGTCCCTTAGAGGGGGGTGTCCCTTGGAGGGTGTCCCTTAGAGGGGGGTGTCCCTTAGAGGGGGGTGTCCCTTAGAGGGGGGTGTCCCTTAGAGGGGGGTGTCCCTTAGAGGGGGGTGTCCCTTAGAGGGGGGTGTTCCTTAGAGGGGGGTGAGGTTCTGCCTTGCGGGGTGTGTGGGGTGAGGTTCTGCCTTGCGGGGTGTGTGGGGTGAGGTTCTGCCTTGCGGGGGGTGAAGTTCTGTCTT